TTGGATATTTTTTTATGTAGATCACTGAAACAGTAAACAAGCTGAGCGTCCACTTATGGGAAGATGTATAATGCTTCGTCGCCTGTACAAAACGGCAGCGTGGACATGACGTCGTTATGTCAAGGCTAGGGGCCTTGCCAATCCTGAGAACTATAATTGTTATATCGTGTCCTATTTGTACGTTGTATTACAGTATTATTATTTGTTATGTGGCGAGTTCACCGACATGACCAGATTTAATGACCAAAAAAGAAAGTAGCGTATAAATGCAGCAAATTTCATGACTATGTTGGGCCTGGATAAACTAACCGGTAGATACAATTACTAAATTACTTACACATTAGTGAAAGTGAAAAATATATTTAAGGTAAACAAGTGTAATCCATCATAACTACTTATTTAAAAGAACCCAGGTGGGTTCTTTTCCAAGTCAGTACAACAATATTATTATGATAACTTAATTCCAGTACCTTTCCATATATGAATACCAAATATAGACGGAAGAAAAACGAAGATGAAAGGAATTTGATCTACTTTCTCTCCTTGTCCATTATACAATTTGGATATGTTTGTTAACTGTTAAGTAACAGTTTAGCTGGAACTTTGTAGAATGTAAACAAGTTTATGGGAATAACTATTAGACACGTTTGGATGTATGCACCAAACAACCAGTGCATCGGCGGCCTGAGTGGCCGACGCAAGATGTGTCTGCTGCACCTTTGCGGCTCGATGAGTGATGTTACCAGAGTGTAAAGTAAATTCGATTTCAGTAAGTAGTAAAATATCTGTACCACACTGTGCCGACAGTGTGAATTCTGGTAGTAAGTAAAGTACCTCATGTGTTAATCGAGGATATGTTCTTACTGTGTATTCGTTGACATCCAAATCTGTCCAGTCTTTTAGAAAAAATATTTTACATATATAATAGACAATAGTAGGATTATCAATTACATTTTATATATTAAATGAATATTTTAATGTTAAAACACTTAGTTATTTTAATGTAATTTTTTATGAATTTATTGGATAATTTTAAATTAAATTATTATCATGAGCGGTAAAATTCAATGTCTTTTGAATAGTAGGTACCTATCATTATTCATTTAATACTGAAACCTGTATAAGAGACAGACGCTTGTCTAGTTACTTACTGTTCTAAAACAACTTATAACATTATTTTTTGCACCGATAACCATTCTGTCTGTGATGGGTCATAAACTTTGACCTGGTAGATATAGGTTAGTTTACATAAAAATGTTTTAAATTGTAATGACCGATTAAAATTTTATCACTTCTCTATATAGTGTGATGTAAGCTGTAAAGATATGTATAACGATAAGTACATAATTCAATTAATCATAGCTTATTAAATAAAAGTAAACAAAATTGCAGTGAAATTTTACTTACCTACCACACTACGCAGATAAAGTAGCGAGTGGGTGGCTACTTGTGATTATATTAAATGGAAAATAATGACAAGTTTTTATTACACGTCGAATTAAATTGCAATAATTTCTACAAGAAGTGAGTAATACATCACACTAAGTAATAATAAATGGAAACAAGTCAATTGACTTTTGCTCAGAAGAGGGTTGTGCCCTTCGCCCGCCGTCTCTCCACTTGAGTTTTTTTGCAGTCTGCAGTTGCATAGTAGGGGCGTAAATTGGACTAAAGTGATAATTTTGACATAAAACAGAAGTAACGGCTGTAACCGTAATGTTTGAAGAGAACAGTACGTTTTATGTCAGTTTTTGTAAACCCGAATGACAAATGTAACATTCTCCATACACAAGTATCTACTGTTTGTAAAACAATTTAGTAGATACTGTTACACCGAATAGTAATGACGTGGTAAGAATATTATTATATTGCATTTAATATATAGATATTTTTTACCTGTTCTTATGGTGTAATTCTGTCCAAGGGACATACTTTTTAATATTTTTTAGTTCTAAGTAGATTTTGTACAAGTCGTACCAACTGTAATAGTTAAAAGGGTCAAAGACATTTATTATATTACACAGCTACGCTCAGATTTGAGGTATGAACAGAAAAGAAGATGTGGTATGTCGGAGATGTAAAATTTTTTTACTATTTAATTAACTAAATGTGACGTTAACAAAACTTCAGGTGTTTATAGTCTACAGTAAGAGTTTCCCAACAGATGCGCCGTAGGCTTGTTTGTCACTATCGTAGTATAAAAAGAAACAAACTAGTAACATGCGGCATATTTTGGAAGAACGTTCAACCTAAATTTAAATCGTATGTGCTATTTAATGGTGCAGACGTATAATGTACTCAATGCATATTATGCAGATTAATCAACAACTCAGTTACGGGAATAGAGCGTAGTTTCCACTAGTTTCCAGAGTATTAGTAATGTCAGAAATTCTTGTCCTCGCTAGGCAACAAGTCCACAAACTTATTATTTTATTACGTGTATTTTTAATTTAATTATATTATTAAAGTAATCTTAATGTACACTTTATCGAATATTTTAAAATTGTTTTTATTAAGTGCTGTATTATCACATTACGGGTCACAGGTGAATCTGTGCAATTTAGTTATCACTTATACGATAAATATAAAGCATCAGGTACGCAAGTAATAATTATTTTTATAACGTAATTCGATTACCCTGAAGAACCTCTAAAGATATGTAATCGGTATATACAAAAATAAGATTGTTATGTAGGTACAAGATGTATGTAAATACGTAGCATTTTTATTTCAACAATGTATTTTAGGTATATAATATCTGAAAATGTATTGAATATCTTGCATTGAATCTCTCTAATGCGTTACCGATAATGAACTAAAATATTATAACCATTCCTGAGGATTTTTTCTATTTCTAACTATATATGCCTTTTGACAGAAACGTTACGTTGCCTAATTATAACGTTATAGCAAACATGGAACTTAGCTAAAATAAGAAAATTCTAAGGTATAATCTAGACTCATAGCGCTATAATTACTCTACCTTCCTTATACACAATGATCTAGCTATAACAACAACAATGCTGACTTTTTTTATGGATAACGACGAAGAAGGATGTAAAATCGACCTGTCAATACTAAAGATGTTTATAGATACTATTTATACTAAATACATTATTTATTTTCTTAATAAAGATATCATTGACCGCAGTGTAGGTTTGGATGATATTTTCTCGATTGGAAAGTCGGTACTCAGAATATTCAAAATAAGGAAATATTGCATGAGTAACAGACAAAAATAGAATATCAAAAAAATTTACGGAGAACCAAGTTTTCAGTTGCAGAAGTTAAACAGTCCGTATATAATACAGGATTTAGTAACTAACCTGTAGGTAGTACATATGTCTTATTTATAATACTGTTAGATAACAATACATATTGTCAGACTTACAGGTATGTGTAAATATGTTTTATTAAAAAAATTATATTATATATAATAATATAATTTTTTTAATAAAACATCATCATCATCATCATTCGTCGCCACAAAATGTGTATGGACGGTATGTCTATCGATTGTAAAAGGAATCTGCGATATCCACAATAAAATAAAGTTTAAGGTTGCATACGTATAAAAAATGTAGTGTAATTTAAGAACTTCCTTTTCAGAATCAATTGATAAAAAATAGGTAAAAGTTTCATGATATTCGTGTATCTATAACGGAAATGTAATGTTATTTTTGTGTTAGCCAATAGTCAATAAAATTCATGTAAAATCTACTATCGTTCCAACTTAGTTGGTACTTACATAGGTAGTATAAAAAACATGAGTACGAGCAATATATTCTGTTTTGTTTTACATAATAATAAAATTATAACATTGTAATTGGGTTACATAAATTATACCTACAATTTGGAGTTCTTACGCAAATATGTATAGTAAACATACTGATTATTTATCTATCAACAACTTATAAAATAATATAGGCCGGCTCTCAGTTTTGTTCTGTATTTTTTCACTTACTCTACGTAAGTGAAAAAATACAGAACATAACTGAATACAACACAAAAATAGTATAAGTAGTGCTTACGGTAGTACCTGAGAGTATCAAGATTTAAAAGTTTACTACCCCGACTTACGCTTAAAGGTCATGATTACAAAACTGGTCACCACAAAAAACTTTGTGTCATTTTATTTATGTGTCTTTATATGTCTGACTCTCCAGTGATGGAAACACCAGCAATAAACCAAACTTATCCAAGACCCTGCTATTTACTACTTTAAATTCAAATGTACCAAGCGAAATTAACGAAAACTAGCTTACGTAACAATAATAAACTAATTTTACCTAAATGTCGTTTGGCTGAAGTTAGTAATTCGTTTTATGGCAATTGCGTAAGGTTTTACAATAAAATACCAGAGTCTGTTATAAATCTGCCAGAAAAAAGATTTAAATGTCAAATAAAACAGTTCCTTTGCAAAAAAGCTTACTATAAAATTGAAGAATTCGTTAACGATAATAATGTTTTTATAGAAAAACTTTAAATCCATAGCACTGACAATATTATCTGATTACACTAATAATGAGTGCGTAGCGTTTGTTTTTTTTTCTTGTTGATTGTTTGTTGTTATGTTGTTTGTTATGTTGATTATCGCATGCCTCTTACTTGTTATACTGTAATTATTTATATAAAAAAAAAATCTATTAAAAAGAGCAACACAGAAGTTTCTTGCTCATTCTTCTTGTGATGAATCTGCATTTCGAATGAGTGGTAGAATCAAAATATGACTATTTAAAAGTGCTTGTAATGAGTTTATTTGAATAAAGATTATTTCTATTTATTTCTATTTCGAAATGTGAGGCATATCAAGTGTTGCGTTCATCACGTCGATCGTCAATAATGTTTCTGACAGTCCCATTTGGGATCCCCTCTAATAATCGTGACGTTATTTAGGTAGGTTAATGAAGTGTCCAATTATATACACACATAATGAATATTAAAGAGAACTTTCCTCTCATAAATGTGTTTTGTGAAATATCGATAGTATGTCCACTAACCTGTTGTACACTACAATTAGAACCACAGCTAACATCGAAGTGACCATCTCCGGTACGATTCTGTAAAGAAAAAAAAAATTCAAATCTCTAATAACTCGAATGCAGAATTTTTTTATAGTCGTGGACAGAGGATGTAATGTTCACCGGAGCCCTGATAACATCCGGTGTGGCAGCGCGTGCGCATCGAAGCGACACCAATCACGGGATGGTTCTCTACCTGCATTCATAGAATCCAATTGAACCGTCGTCGGCGTCGACATGGTCGATCTAATTAATGTAACGTATAATATTGTCCTCTTTTTTTATTACCTAGTAAGAAATGTGTATGTAAGATATCTCCTATTATTTCATGTCTAATCAGTAGGTAAATATGAATCAATTAAAATAGTCGAATTATTAACCTACAGCAAAACTCAAAAATCCAATGAAAATGTAATAAGACGGAAAACAAAATCGTTATTTATATGTTTTATAATAAAAAAACGTTCCTCTTATATTTACCTACCTCCAGTAACCTTAGGCAAATGGATACATAGAGAGGGTATATATATATTTATGGGATTATATAGATGTACATACATTTTGAGTAACAATACCTACGACGTTAAATTCATTATAATGAATACCGACAATTGAATTGACTACTATTAGATCTCTCAGGCCTTTAAATGGCAATAGGTCGTTGTTATATTTAGTATATATACTTATGTATTTAGTATATAACTTTTGAAAAATGGTACTTAAACTTCAAAATCTATGATGATGATGTTCAATGTATCTTTGTAAATTTGTTGTACTTTTTGCGCAGTTTTGTTGTTTTGTAACCGTGTGACCGGACCCACTCCAGCCGCATCGCAGAGGCTTCCATACTGAAATCTGATACATTGTGGTTTCGCTTTTTGATGTTTTATATCTTAAGCCCTATAATGTTGATTGATTTACAATGGGAAATGGTTCCAATATTTTATAAAAATATAAAACCGTGTGTGGCGATGGCATCATATCACCATTTTGGACAATTACATTCGAATATTCTATTCTCAATGTGATTATGGATTTGATACTAAATCGAAAATATTTAGTAAAATATTATTAACTGGGTCAGACAGTTTTAACACCCTCATGCTCGTATATGACATTTTATTTAACTTCATAAATATTACAACTATTGTTTGACTTTACACAAGCTGAAGGATCAGTCAATAAGTTTGATTATGATCACATAACACTTATTTTGCTATTGTCTCTGAATCTGTTATAAATAAAATTACAGGCGACTCTACAACTCTCGCAAATAAAAAACGTTATTATTGTATTATAAAAATTTATGATCCATTCCTATATAAGATATGTGAGCCATATATAAGACATATATAAAATTGTGGTAACCACCAGAATTTTATGCTTATGACTCTTTCCGAGGATGTCACGCAAAGCTCTAGTATAAGCGTAATTCTAATAAGTTTGGTCACTTTACAAAGTTTTTTGTATTCATTTTATTTGTATAAGTTGCAAGTTGATCATAAAATAAACGATGTTTAGGGTAAAAAACAATAATCGGAACTGTGCAATCTTTTCACCTGGACTGAAACATGTCTTATTTTTGGCTAATTGTCCTAGAATTAAGGATCAAGGCCAAAATTGGAGTGCTTCGTCACTAGCCGGGTGTATTGTAGGGACTATGGACTATATTTAGCATGACTGCGTTGATTACGGTAGTTCGCTAATTGCTGACAATTGCTTAGATGTGCGTTGAACCTGCTGGTGCCGCAAATAAATAAACCACGATCATCCTCGTTCGCTTACGTTCAATAACCCAACGATAACTTTTTTATCAACATGGAAAATAATAACATTACTTTGCCTGTATAAAGTGCTACACGGTACCTAAATAACGGCACGTTACAGATAAAAGAATACTTAGCCATGAAAAAAACTGTTGTACCTATTTATCACAACATACAAATATTGTAAAATAAATACATAAAATTTCGTGTAGTTCCTGCGTTCACTAACTTTGAAGAAAAATAGCAAAAACAGATCCTATCACTCATAAGAGTTTTACCGCATTATGCTTTCTACACATTTTTAATGTTAACTTTATTTTGTTAGTTGCAAGGGACTATTTAGGCAAGTCTGCGTAAGACTCTACGTTTGAGTGACAATTTATCTTAGTATTATTGCTAATGTAGCAAGATTAGCTACGTAGGAAATGAAAACCTAGTCATAATACAAAAAGAACAGTACACGAACTAATACGATACCTACTGACAATATTGTGAGGTAGAAAAGAATATATAATGATACGACGAAGTGACGGTTACTACTAAGACATACACAATATTAGATCAGTAGATACGTTATATTTTGTAATAGTCAATATCAGAAATTGAAGACAGTAGATATATTACGTGTTGTCTGTGTTGTTTATTGCATATTTGCACAACAAACCTGGAATGGACATTTTTCATTGCATCGAGCCACGGCTTCCGCTCCGAATTTCTCGGTGATGGAACTGTAATCGCAGCCAATTGGCCGAGCGGACAAAGCCAATCCGAGCAGCGACAACACTACCCATTTGTGCCAATTCAGCTCGCTCATTGTGCCCACCGACCACCGCCGTCGTGTCCACTGGCTACCGTCATCCGTATAAACCACACACGTCCATATTTAAATGTAATATCACAACATCAGTCTTAAACTCGTGAGATCACAATCCAAGCTATTCAGCTAGCAAATCGTAATTACCGATGAGGTACGAAATTCGGTTACCGGCATAACGATCGTTTAAGAGCACGTTAGTGTGCGCGTACGCAGCGAAAGCTACTTGTTGACTGAATCGCGCGCATCCGCCCTCGGCCGCAACGGCGCACGAGCTACGAGAACGAGGACGCTACGGTTGGGCGCTACAGCTATTATGCCTCTACCTGCCCAATCGTCCATCATCAGTCAGGAGTCACTTGTTACCTAGGTGCACTATGTAACCGTTGTAATCTGTACAAAAATAAAGTGTTTAGGGAGGTTAAGTCATACTTTCAGAATAGTCCCCTAATACGGGTTACTATTCGTTTGGTATTTTTAGATGAGAAGAAGAAGAATACATCCAAATTTCATAACACAAAAGACAAATAAATTTACCCACTTATAGTGAATATAATAATAACAATAACCCTGGACGCACAGCGCTATTTTGTATCAATCTAAGCAATGTTATAACTACTAGATATGGAAATACTTAAAGACATTTTCTAGATTATTTTCTAAAGAATTTTCTAATCAATGTTCGATTTTCGGTAAGGTAGAAGAAGAAATATGTCAAAGTTGCCGATAAATTCGTAACACTACGATTTTATCGGTATACTGAAATGAGTTGTCTGATTTCTAATTAAGTTATATACTTTTATATATGACCTACCTACAAAGACATAAATTTATTGAAATAACATAAGTTATACTGGTAGAGTCAGTATTTGTATAGTGTAGTAGAGCCCATTAAATTAGGATTTTAAATAAACTTTCCCATAAATTTGTCTACTTAACCTCGTTGAACCTAATATCTACAGTTTATAGCGCCGTTTATCAAACGAAGCAACAAGGCCGCCGAGTGATACCAGAGACAGATCTCAGCGTTACACCGACCGCTCTCAATTAATTTAACTGCACGCTACTAGGTATAACTTCCCACGCCTCGACAACATTCCACTGACCAAATAATTCCATCTCCTTTAAAGTTTTCATTAAATACAATTTCAAACTTATACCATACCTAAGGGAAGAGGAATTGTTAGTAGCAGCACGTAGTGGAGACTGCTGCCCTCATAGCTAGCAATGTACTATGATACATATCATATCAACTGGAAACCATTTTACTTAATTTCTGGTGAATTTTCCTAGATCGTCCAACTGCCCTGCTTTGACCCTCGTCGCATCATGCATCATCGCAGTACCCTCTCTAAGGTACTACACACAATACTTTAATCAAAAATCTACCAGATAAAATAAAATTTACTTTATATTTTACTAACTTCCTTAATACATTTTACCGCAAGAGTCTATATTAGTGTTACTTAAATAAGTATGTAGTTTCAATCTATGGCAGCTGAACTCAAAATGTATGAAGAATAGTTATTATTCTTAGAATGAACTAAATGAGGACTCATCGTTTATAAAAAGTAGTTACTATATAAAACGTCGAGCAATTGTCATTTATATATACGATCTTTTCTAACTTAATAATAACTTTATAAGTCAAATATTTAGTAGTTATTTCAGACTAGTCTCTAGTGCTTTAGTTATTGTTATTAATTGAATATTGTGCATAAGAAATTTTTTTTGATAGTTGACAGCAAACAATGATGTTCCGAGACTTTTGTAGACAACATTATCTACTAGTAGAGAACGCTAATACAGTAATGTATCTAGCAACCAAGCCGTTCGTTAACAGATATCACAGACTGAAATAGCAAAGACATACACTATACTTGTTAATTTTTTTTTCTTTAGGTACTTATTACAAGGAATTTGTCGCAACCTGTTATTTACCTTAAAAGATATTTTTTTATTTACTTTGACAGAAATTCTCTATTTGGTTTACGGATGCATTTGCTAAGTTCACTCGCTCCCTCAGAGTGGGCTATTATGTAAGTTTTACAGTAAGATACTGAAGGATATTTTGAATTTAGCTTTGAATAAATTCAAAACATTTATTATGAAATGTTTATTATGTAAAGCCCATGAGCAATTTGTAAACAAATACTACTTTTTAAATAAGAGTCGCTACACCTAGCGCCATCTAGGCATTTACAGACAACTTACATAGTCACCAAATATGTGTAAGGTATACAAATTTTACACACATGGCTTTGCTTTTAATAGGCGATGATGACATTAAATAGAAACTTATAAAATACGAAAGAGAGCGCCACTTATACATGAAATGTATACCAAAATAAATAGATGATGATAGACGCATATTACACGGGCCGTGCTAATATCCCTCTTTCCGTGGTGGAGGCAAATCGCGAACAGCTTGTGTCTGAAATCGAGAGTACTCTTACCAGAGTCTCCGATTGGGGGCGACTGAACTTAGTTCAATTCAATCCTACTAAGACACAAGCCTGCGCGTACACCGCTAAGAAAATCCCTTTTGCTGTGGCTCCTCAATTCCAGAACACGTCCGTTACCATTTCTAAGAGTATTGGGATTCTCGGTGTCGACATCTCTAGTACTGTTGAGTTCCGCAGTCACCTGGGAGAAAAGGTACCGATTATACAACGGACTGTGTTCTAAGGAATTGTTAGACATGATGCCGACAGCCACCTTTTACCACCGCACCACTCGCCATCAACAGGGAATTCATCCCCACACGCTGGAACCTAAATGGTCCCGAACAGTGCGGTTTCAGAGGAGTTTCCTCCCGCGTACCCTTATATTGTGGAATGAACTTCCTGCCGAGGTTTTTCCTGAAGGGTATATTAAGGTTTCTTAAGAGTCGGCAACGCGCACGTGATAACCCTGGTGTTTCAGGCGTTCATAGGCTACGGTAACCGTTTACCATCAGATGGGCCGTATGTTTGATTGCCACCATCATAGTATAAAAAAAAAAGACAAACATGTATTTGTTCGATAGATTTCATATTTATGACTACATGTGCACATGTATTTTTTTACGATTAACAAATCACTTTATGCTAATTGTTCTGAGTAACTTATAACAGTTACACATATAATATTGCCCAAATTTAGTTTTCTTATTTTTCAGAGACGTTTTTAACGTAACGTTTAAAAAGTAAAACGAAATCCTAAGGATCCTACAACATTTATATATATATATATATATATATACACAAGTGTTTCACCAATTTCAAGAAAAAATATTATTAACGAACACTAGTTTTATCCTTAATTAGGATTTATAAATATCTATCATCTTGTCTTTAATAACATAACCCTATTTAGGAAACATATATTATTATACTTGTGTTTAAATAGACATATTACCTCATACTTACTTCTGTAAATTAAGATGTACGTACCTACCTAAAGAAAATCAAAACCAGTTTACAATTAATATTTGTTCTAAAACTTCGAGCGAGGCGAGGATGACTCGCACTTTACCTGTTTTATATTTTTAGTAAGTAGGTAACTTCTTGTATGGATCTTTTTGAGATCGATCCAGAAATTGACTTTTTACTAACATCAGTAATCATGATAAGTACATATGTAATATGTATATATATATATATTACATTATAATCTACTTTAGGTACTAGTCTCAAATTCAATTACTAGAAATAGATAAGTGAATATAAGACGATAATGATAGCTTTATTAATTATAATTATTAAGAATTACAATAACTACCAGAGGTAGACTTTGTACAATGTTGTCTGCGTGAGTACCTCATTTCCACCTATCGCAGTTAGTCTTAAATTACCGTTTTTCCTAACAATGTTTCGGTTGGAATGTGAGATATGGTAGCAAAGTTATAAGGCAAGGAGACACAACATCTTAGTCCTATAGAATAGCCACGCATGACGAGAACTAGGAACGATGTGTTATAGATTACTAATAGCACGGACTTTCCTTATGTAACATAAAATCGTATGAATTACGATTTACTATTAATATGATATAACCTTTCATGATATTCATACTCTAACTTATGACCGAAGTTATGTAAATGTCACAACTGCGATTAGGCACTAGGTATTATATAATGTTGTGGTCTCATATAGCATAATGAATGGCCATCCATGACATGACCAAGGTATATTTATGCTAAAATTCATTAAAACCAGTATCTTAGACATAAAGTCGAACATTTAGACGAAGTTCTAGTGACTAGATACTAAATTTACCCATATGATAATAAGAGTTCAAACTATTTAAAATCATGGCTTATGTGATATTACGAAGATAATAATGAGATGACTGCGAACACAGTTGAATGGAAGAGAAAAACATATTACATCGACCCCAAATAAATGGAATAAGGAAAAAGCAGATGATGATGATGAATTAGTCAATCATATTGTATAGTAGTACAATATAAAACAATGCTTACTAATAACAATAAAAATATTTATTTGGTCATATTCTTATTACTGAACTGACCTTCTAATTAGTGTTCAAGGTGACAGAAGTAAGAGACCGAAACGAACATTAAAAAATGTAATAATTATAAGCCATATGATAATACATTCTACTACACAACGTTTTATACATTTTCTTTTTACCTGTAAAATGCATTACAAAATATATATACACTTAACACTTTTGTACAATTTTGGTTAATATTTATTTATTCCATTTGTATAATATTTATATAATTGAAAAATAAGACAAAATATAAATTTAAATATTAATTCGTATATAATAGAAATAACATTTTACACTAAAGGCAAAATCAAGAAGCATTAATTAAGAGCGCGTTAGATGTGGCACTGATTAAAAAAGTTAGCTATTTAAATAAATATTCTTAGATATCGAAATTTTCATTTTAGCCCCTAGTCCAATTTCTTGAACTTTGGCATAAGTAGCCAAACAAAAATATAATTTAAATGTAATCCCTGAAATCCTGATGATACAGATCTATCAAACAACGTAAGGAATTTTAACTAATTATAGAAATCGGCAAACTTAGATTAAGTTATTGTATAATCATAGAATTCTTGTAATTCTCAATTTGTTTTTAGATAAAAATTGTTTGAGTGATAAGACCGACAAAATATATGTACATGTCAGTGTATGTCCGTATTCACTTGCCATTTGGTTGCCAGTGCTAATAGTGTCGCTGAAATATTGCTGTTATCTGAA